CCCAGAAGGTACCTGGAAGTCATTCTTGCTCAGACTTCCGAATTTCTCTGGGCTTTCTCATGCTCTCCCCCGTCCTGTTGAACGTGAGATGCAAAGTCCCACCGAGGGGGTGACAAAAATGGGCTGAGAACAACCTCTCAAAATAGGAATCACAAAGTCTTCTCATTAAACACTTTGCCTTTTCTTTGCTAAATTACGCCGGGAAACCGGTATAATGTTGGCGCCTCCCCCACTGCCTCTGTTGTCATGGGGTGGGCTGGAAAGCCGCACTGTGCCCCGCCAAAAGCATCACCCCAGGAAGGAATGACAGATTTCCTGTGCCTGCTGATTTTGCCTCTGCCGGTATTTGGGGCGGGAGAGAATGCGTGTCTCTGTGTGACAGTTAAAATGGTGCCCTGCCACAGGCGCCGCATGTCTTTCGCTGCTTGTGAGTGTTAATCTGCTAGATAGCCTAGAATAGTGAAATGAAATCAAGGGCATTTTAATAGAATATTAACCTTTCAGCCTGATAACCACTGAATTGCAGTGCCTTGCAAGGCCGCCCTGTAAGCTTCGCAGCTGAACCAAGGTTTGGCCTTGGGTATGGAGGCAGCAGGTGTAAGCGCCCGCTGTGCCGTTTACACTGAGAGTCTCTGGCAGTGTCGGCATTTCTGTGGGCTGGGAAGGTGGGAAGCTGCCACTGCAGAAGGTGTTGTGGACACAACCAGGAACTCAGTTGTGCCCAAGAGGAGGAGGAGGAATTTGGTTTGCCACTTTGCGTTCTTCCAGGGGGAAAGCAGCACTTCGATGCTGAATGGGAGGTCAAGACTGATGCCTGCACGTCCTTGTTACTTATTTAATTATATTTTGCGTCCTCGCTTTTGTCCTGCAAGGAACCACTGGTGGCATCCATGGCCTTCTTCTGCCTTTCCATGTCATCCTCCCAGCAGCGACCCTGTGAGGTGGGTTGCACTGAGAGTCAGGGACTGGCCCCAGGTCACCATGGCTGAATGGGGACTCGAACCCAGATCTCCCAGGACCCGCAAAGGCTGTTTTCCACTGCACAGCAGGGTGTGAATGCCTTTAACACGGTGAAGGAGGTGCCATGCCTCCCCACCCCCAGAAAGGCCTGTGTGGCTGCCTGTGATGCCATGATCCTGCTGATGGGGTGGTGGGCAGACAGGGGCTGGGGACCCCTCTCCTCTTCGGCCTGCCAGTTGGCGCTTTGGGGGCACCATCGGCCTTGAAAGAAGCTCTCGGTTTCTTCCCCAAAGGCGGCAACTGCCCTCTTCTAGTATTGCTCAGAGAAAGGATGCCAGGACTGGGAAGAGGGGGAAGAGACCTTCCTCTCCTCCTGTTATTGCATGCCTTTGCTGGACGCTGGCTTTAGAGATGCCTAAGAATTCCACGTGTGTTTGCAGAACAGTCATCCCTGCCCCAGTTGCAGTTCTGAATGTGACCACGACCGGGGAACATATTCTCTGAAAATGTTAATTCTCCAACATGCGTTGCTGTGCAAAAATTGTGAACGTTTCAGAGAAAAGCTAGCTTGAAATGACACCTTTTTTTTTTTTTTTTTAGCAATTTCATGCTTTAATCTATGGGGGAAAGTTGCCCACTTTCACAATGAATTACTTGGCAGTTTTACTCTTTGATCACCTTCAATTTGCACATTTGAACAGTGATTGCAAGTGAAAAAAAAAAGTAGGCAGGGTGAGCGTCAAGCGGATGTGTGGAGAATCTGGGCAAAGGCGAACTTTGTTCGTGTGTCGTGCCCCCACCCCCCTTTTGCTGGGCTGCACCAAGCGGATCGGCTCCCTATTTGGCTGCTCCCACCTCTGTAGGCCCAGAGGGGCAGGAAGAAAACCTGTACAGCGCTTGGGGCCCTGGCTTTTATTTTATTTTAAAAGATTTTTCATTTTTTAATCTTTTAACAGGGAGGCTGGCATGCCACGAAGCAAAGGGCAGCCCTCCAGCTCCATTAGTATTTGCATTCAGAAGAGGCGCTCTGTGTTTTGCAGCTGTGACCCCACCTCTGCTTTGTAATTACGCTGTTGGACAAGTTACTTTTCTTCTAGTTTGCCTTCTGGGAAATAAGTGCTTTATGACCAGCCATGCATGTTCTGGTAGTCATTTTATGAGTGTGCCCATGATACTCGGCATTCCAGATGTGCCCACAAACCGTACTCCTGATGTAGCCTGTAAGCATGCATGTCCCCTTTCATCTGTTGGCGCGGCTCGGCACGCGCTTGCGGAGCATGTGGGCTCTATAGATGCAACATGACTAAATTTAGCATTGCATTGCAACTGGCACAGAGCTGGGCAGGATAGCGGGTACCCTGCGAGACAGAACAGAAGGCCAGAATTCAGTCTTGATCGGTTGGAGTGCTCTGGAGAGCGACTGTATTAAACCTAACAGGAACAAGTCAAATGCCAAGTTCTGCACCTAGGAAAAAGGAACCCCAGACATCAATAAAAGGTGGGGGATACTGGGCTCAGCAATACTGCAAGGGAAAAGGATCTTGGAATTGTTATCGACCACAAGCTGAACAGGAGGCAAGAATGTGATGTGGCTGCCAAACAGAGGCAGGCTGCGTTGGGTTGCGTTAATAGAAGGATAACTTACAAACTAGCTCGCTTCTGCCCAGCACTGGTTAGGCCTCATCTGGAGTATCGCATCCAGTTTTGGGCAACACAGTTTTAAAATTATGCAGATTAACTGGGGACGGTTCAGAGGAGGGCAAGAAAGATGATTTGGGGGCTGGAAGCCAAGTCCAGTGAGGAGGGACTAGAAGAGAGGAAATACAATTGCACAGAGGGACGAGATCTCTTCTCCATCCAGGATCTTTTCTCCATCAACGGGCTCCAGTTCTAGGAGGCCGTGTTCCAGGTGGACAGCAGGAAAAACTTCCTGACTGTTGGAGCAGTACGGCAGTGGAACCAAAGACTGGCTCCCACAAGCTGGAGGCTTTCAAGGGGCAGTTGGGACAACCATCTGTCAGGGTTGCTTGAACCTGGGGCGCTGCCGTGAGCAGGAGTTTGGACTCGGTGGCCTTCTCGGCCTTGCGGCTTGACTCTTCTATCATTCTGTGCCACGTACGGAATCCTTGCGCTGCCTCACAAGTCAGAGTATGCGGTGCATTTTTTAACATTCCATCTCATGTGTAATCTTACTTTCATAGCCCTTTATCCTTTCTCTTCCCTGCGTTGCTTCTTTCATATCTATTCCCTTCTCCCCTCAGCCCCAGTTTATTTCCAAGAAAAAATGGCCAGAACTGGGTGCTGGATAGGATGATTTGAGATTGGAAGGCGCCATTAAAAGCTGCCATGCATTTTCTCCTGTTGCTCTCCAACGGTTTTAATGTAGCTTGGTGCCCTTCCTCCTTCTCCCTCACCATCATTCTTGTTGTACACCAAACAGATGTTTCTGTTGAGCATTCCCCCAAAGACTCACAGGACGTGTTTTTGTCGCTGCCGTGGCCCGTACAGAAGGCCTCTGCAGCCCCTCATCTCTGCCATGCAGACCGATTTCACTGTAGTTATTATGCAAATTTTCCCTCGTATAACCATGATAAAAATACCACCAGCCGCACTTTCTCCATGCATAATGTGGCACGGGCCCGAGAGCAGGAGTGTTGTGGCACTTGCATATGTTCGTGGGTCCCAGGGAAGGGACTCAGTGCTTGCCTGCAGAATGGAAACTGAGAGCCAGTGTGGTTTAGTGTGGACAACCACATGCTGGGCGGAGCCAGCTGGAGCTGGGGGTCAGACTAGATGGCCCGGGGAACCCTTCTGACTCGCTGTGTTTCCGTGCGGTGTCGTGGTGAAGAGCGCGGAACTGGGACTTGGGCGATCTGGGTGCTTAGCCGTGGAGCCAGCCGGGTGACTTAGGGCCAGTCACAGACTCTCAGCCCTGTGGGGGATGTTGCTGTGAGGATAAGATTGAGAGCAGCAGGAGGGGAATGATGTGAGCTGCTCTGAGTTTGTCGGGGAGGAATGGGGGGAATTCTAATTGATAAATAACTCACCCTCTTTCAGGCCATGGCACCCAGATGTCCCCAACCTGGACAGCAGATAATGGGTGAGAATTTGCCTGCTTAGGACTCCGGAGCATTCCTGTGAGAGCGGAGCGGAGCGGGCTGGGCTGGGTGGATAACTCGACCCACTTGCAAAAAGGCAGCTTCCTTATTCAAGGAGAGCAAATGGCAGTTGTGGCTTCCACAAGGGAGCTGGAAAGGGGAAACCCTTTGCACTGAGGCAGCCCCCTGAGGCTGGAGCGCAACAGCCGGAGTGCCTATCTGTGGAAATTCCCTGGTGCTGGGAGCTCCTTGTTTTCATCTGAGCAACCTACTTCCCCGTCAAGCCCCCCCCGTGGATGCCCCAGCGGATTTGACTGTTCAGCCGAGTATGAATGGATGCTTGCCGTACGAGAATGGATTATGTCCTGGGCTTCACTGTAACCACGAAACATCTAATCCATATTAATAATTGGGTAATTGAGATAACAAAACCCACTCCACAGATTACGCACTCACCGTTTCTGGGATAATGCGTAATTAACCGTGCCGTTATGTCCTGGCCTTGCACAGCTTCCTCTTGGTCCCAACACGAAGACTCTCCTCTTGGGATCTGCCCCCGTTGGCCTGTGTGACAGTCTTCTTCAGCCCTTGAGATGCATCAGGCTATAAACCCCATCATCCCCGAAGCATGATAAGGATTGTGGTTGGACACAACCGGAGGGACGCCCGGTTAGGGGAGGTGGCTGTCCAACGTGGCATCCAAGTTGGTTGTGCGTCACAGTGACATTTGTAGGGTCAGCTTGGGGAGAGCTGTGGTAAGGGTCCCTCATCTTCCAGCCCCTGAAGGCTCTTTTCAAACCACCTGAAGATAAAAAAAGGAAGCCGGTTAGAGCCATCCTCTCCGCTTCACTTTCAGGTATTTGCAGGGCTCTTTCGGCACGGCTTTCGTGATTAATACTCTTGTATCTTTTCCCTTCCCTTTTCTTTTGCCTTTTCCCCCAGGGAGAACCGGCCATGCTGAAGTAGTCCGAGTGGTGTTTCAGCCAGAAACCATCAGCTTTGAGAAACTGCTCAAGGTCTTTTGGGAGAATCATGACCCAACACAAGGTAGAGTGATGAGTGAGCCAGTATTTAATTATCTTACTAATTACAGCTGGGATAATTAGTGTTTGAGCTGCTTGGAAGAGATGAACCTTGAAATCGCACTGTAGCTTGAGAGGATGGTTGCTGGCATTTATTGATGGGGTGGGAAGAATCAGGGACTTGGAGCTCCGAATGCTGTGAAAATTCCCAGCGAGATGGAGAGGGAGAGAGAGAAAGAGAGAAGACAATAGAAATTCCACTTACCTTTTATTTTTACTGTTTCTTCCTCAATGCAGCCTTTTGTCTTTGAAATTAAAGGCCTCTTTCTCCACAGCACCACAGTTGATAATTTCACTTAGGCACGGAGCCTTTATCCTCTGCGAATTTGATGCTTTTCATCATGGCAGAATTGCTACAGGTATCTTTTATGATTAAAAAAAAATGCCTCCAGGCATACGGGTTTGAGGCCCTCAAGTACTGTATGCTGGGCAGTGGCCTTAACCCTTATTTTGATGTAGGCCGGGGTAGGGAAGTGCTTTCAGCCAAGGCCCGGATTCCCGGACTCCTGGGGGCTGCATTTCCAGAGGCCGGTGAGCGAGGCCAAAGGAAAGCAAGATGGGACCCAAATGCCAGCATGTTTTCGCTCAAAGCTCCTGCGGTGGGGGAATGTTTCTACCTTTTTGCACGGGGAAAGACATTTGCAGAAGCTGGACAAAGGCCTGAGGATTCATGGTCAGGGGAAAAGGTATGTCGCTAAATTGGGACCCCAGAAGGAACAGAACTGACCCAGAGGCTGACGGTTCCCCATCTTTGGTTTAATGGACCCTTCTTAGAAGTGTCAGCACTACAGGCTGAAAATATTTGTGCCAGAAGCAAGAGAAAAGAGCTGGATGGGTCTCTTCAATAAGAGATTATAAAAGCTTTCTACAAGCTTTCTGTAAGATTTCCTTCAGAGCTCATGTTCCTTTCATCCTGTTTCCATATCAACTTGCAGTTCTGTTCTTGTGAAAGTTCTTGGTAATTCATATGCAACGTTGAGTGTGACTGTTTGCACACTCCCCCATTCGTTGCGCAAGCAGCTCATATTCTGAGTCATCTGCTGAAGCCGTACCCCAGTTTCTGGAGACTGAGATGGATGGAATCCTTCAGGTTGCTCTCACTGAGAGCGGAGGGTGATGCTGGGAGCCCCTCTCACCGCAAGGTGTTCGGCCTCTGGCCATGAGGGAGGTGAGGCGCTTGGGAGGGACGGGGTGGCCCTCCATGCAGTCGATCCTCTTCGGCAAGGTCCCACAAGAAGCTCCACCGGCAGTCCTCTCCTCTCCTGTCTCCTTGTGCTTCCAGACCCTCCTTTCTGAAAGTGCCCAGCTGTGTCCCTCTCACCTGGGGTCCTTTCCTCCAGGTGGCTGCTCCCCCTACTCCCACCTGGGGTCCTTTCTCCCAAGATGCCTTCCCTGTGCTGCCCTTGCAGCCTGCATTTTCGGGGACGGCAGCAAGTCCTGGGGCACCGTTGGTGGACTCAGCCGGGTTGCTGACCAAACCAGCCTTGCGAAAGCAGTTCAGTTGGGATGCGGCCCCCACGTACCCTGAAGTGCTGGGCCCCGGGAAATCCCACCTGCCTTGGAGACCAAACCTTTCCTACATTCCCTCCCTCCCTCCCTCACACACATTTGTCTCAGTTTGGATCCAGTTTTCATTGCTCCATCTCACTTTTACTGTAAGGGCCTGTCAGTTTGTCACGGGGTGGGAATGGGTGAGCCTTTTCTGGGTGCTGCAGCAAATAATTAGAATGAGGCGCGAAAAGTTGCACTGCTTTTCCAATGAGCAGATGTGACAACCTAGAGGAGCTGAAGTACAGCTGCACCCATGTCATATGTGAGAGCAGGCCTAAACCACCATTGCGCATCCTGATACAAGCCTGCTGCTTTATCTTGACATTTTAAAAACAGGGAGCAGATGAGATCTTTGCATAAACTGCACTGATTTTCATATTTCGAAAGTAACCTTCCTCTGGAATTCTGTGACACTCAGCAAATGTGTCAGAGTGTTGTGTTGTGTTTCGGAGTCAGAATTCCGTTGCAGCTCGTGCTTGGGCTGAATTAAGCCCCAAGCCAGTCCTGGGGATATCACAATCTGTCTGCACGAGCTGATCCTGCAAAGGAACTCCAGGGAGATGGCTTTGTGACTGAGTCCGTGCGGTGCCGTGCCGTGCCTTCTTGTATTGCAAGGGCGTGGTGCCGTGGAAAGTGGGAGGTGGCCGGAAACGATGTGCCTGGCTCCCACTTCAGTCGGTCTGAAATTGAAGCCTGGAGAATTACTTTAATGGAGTTACTACTAAGATGAAAATGATGAAGGATCGTCTCTGGAGCCAGCAGGGCAGAAAGCTGGAAATAGGGATGTAGAGATTACTTATTTATTCATTTCATTTGTGTGCCACCCCACAGCTGAAGCTCTCTGGGCTGTTGACGTAGGCCATGAGAACATGAGGATAAAAGTACAATGAAGATATCATAAGATCAGGGAAAAAATTAAAAGTTTAAAATGGCGAAAGTAGATAAGAAAAATAGACAATAGCATAGAACTGTAGGAACAGATCGAGTCAGAAGGGGCCTCCTGGGCCATTTAGTCTGACCCCTGGCTCCAGCTGGCTCTGCTCACGACATGCCTACCAAGAACAAGAAATAACAAAAAGAAAAACACATGGTAATTCGCCTCAAGCCCCTGGGAGGCCAAGTAAGTCTTTCAAAGCCTCTGAAAAGAGGGCCCTCTTAACTGATGCTGAAAAGTGGACAGGTCTGGTGCTGATCAGGCCACAGACGGGAGGTTATTCCTCAGACGGGAGGCCACTGCTGAAGAACTCTCCCCTTTGTTGCCACCCTCTGCCATTTCTCCTGGAGTTGGCACTCGGAGGTAGCATCCCCGTAGACTGTGGCTGGGACAGACTCTCCAGCAGTTATTATGGTCCTAAACATGTTCAGCTTTATAGGTTAAAATGGGCACCTTGCATTGGGACCAGAAGCAAGCAGGCAGCCAGCGCGTGTTTGAACCTCTGGGTGCCGGTTATTCATCTGGCTGCCACATTCTGCACCAGCTGCAGATTCGGAACCGTCTTCAAGGCCGGTCCTCCATAGATTGCATTGCAATAATCCAGTTTAGAGATTGCCAGGGCACGAGCGACTGAGCCAGGCTATCCCTGTCCAGATAGGGGCGTATCTGGGCCACCAGCCAAAGCTGGAAGAAGGCGCTCCAGGCCACTGATGGCACCCAAACCTTGAGTGACAAAATGGATTAAGGAGCACCTCCAGGCCACAAACCAGCGTGGCTTGGCGTGGCTGGAGATGTTTGCATGTGGGCCTGGGACCTTTGTTTCAGAACCAGGCCCTCTGCCGCAGGGCAAGAGGCTCTCCCCTCTAGGCAACCCCACCGGCTGATCTGTCTAGGCAACCTGCTGCTGAGTTTATGCACTTGCAGTTCCATGACTTTCTCACATCTTAAAAATAAAGGGATGCTGACTTCCCTGATCCAGTCCAGACCCATGTGCAGCACAGCGGAGTGATGCAAGCAAACTCCCTACAGCCGAGTAAAACCCTTAGGGGGAAGAGCAGCCTTTGCACAATGCGAATTGGGGCAGCGGAAGCTAGGTTTTGGGGCTATATCTACGCCCCACTCAACATCCTTCCCCTACATGTGGAAAATCTGTTGGTGTCCTGAAGGAAGAAGCTTGAGCATGGAGCATGGGAGGTGGACACCAACACCAGAAAGTGGCGGAGCCTCTCTGGACACCGCTGGGCCACCGTGAAGGCTTCTAGAACACAGACACCGCACTACAGATCCCATGCATAGATGTATTCATTTCGCTTTGAGTCGAGCAAAGTTCTTTGTTCACGTAGCGGTTCTGGGGAACCCCCAACGAGTTTAATACTTCCAAGAGTGTGAATCTTCTATCAAGTCAAGCCAGAACTTTCCTTCGAAGCAAACAGGCAAAACTCAGGCTTTGGGCACATCATGAGAAGGCAAGACTCACGAGAGAAGGCAATCAGGGAAAGTCGAAGGCAGAAGGGAGAAAGGGAGAGCACATCTGGGATGGAGTGGCTGTATCAAGGAAGCCACAGCCTGGAATGTACCAGAGCTGAGCAGGGCTCTCGAAGACGGGACGTTCTGGAGGACTTCCATTCACGGGGTCTCCATGTGTCGGAGACACAGTAACAGCAGTGCTGTGGATCTTGCCATTTTACGGACGGTCTCCCTTGATGTCTCACTTCTCTTCTTGATCTCTGTGGTTGCACAAAGTCTGTGAGATCCTGTGCTGCCAAGGATCTGAGGCTGGGTGCCCATGTGCACCAGTTCCTGGGGAGCAGTGGACCTCGACTCCTGTCTGGGAGCAGCCTGCAGGCAGCAAGCTGGTCTCTGCTTGAGGAGCGTGCTGGGGGAGACGGCTTCTTGACCTGCTGCAGCAGGGCTTTTCTCGTCTTCCTATGACTGTGTAAGCTTCTTAATGTTGCTTCTGATGAAATAATGGGGAAGTGAATTCCTCCGGAGTACAGGAGGTAGACGGACAGAGAATGTCTCCACGCTGTGATCTCTGGGAGATGCTGCCATCAAATCCATTGATAATATTGGATTAAATGGGCCCTGGGGACAGCTTTTTAGTTTGAAGCTTTCCTGGAATGTGGAATATGAAGCTGCTGAAGCAAGCCCACGTGCTCCTGGCCCCATGGCCGTTATTCTAAATGCAGTTTGGGGCTTCTGATGTGGGTCAGCCTCTTCTTGGCTCCAGTCGACCGAGTGTTTTCAGGCATGATCCAGGATAATGCAGAGGGTGTGATAATTAGAGAGAAAGCTGAGAAATATCTGTAGGAAGTTAATCAAAGTCAGCACAGCATTGACAAATTTGAGAGTTGGGCAAATCTCTGTAATGCGATCTGACACTATGGAGATAGAAAGAGAGAGAGATTTGTTCATATTAGAATAATTGGCCTCTTGCAGAGCAGCAGAGGCACAGGCCGGGAGAGAGGGCTGAGTGGCCA